ATGCAATTACAAAAACACCAGCAAATTGAGAAAAGATCTTTATCATGTGCTGCAAATCCTCACAATGCATACACATTATGGCTGTGCGATTAGTCGCAATTGAATCGCAATCTGAAATGTTGTGATTAGCTAATTGCAAGAGGCTGCGATATGAAATGCATATGTATTAATTTCTCCTAGCCAGAGCAAATGCGTGACTGCCGTCTGTGTGACAGTCTTACTAGTCAAATAAGTAAGGGCACTCTCATTCTGTTCAATCTGAATTGCACAACCGAACTATGCAAATCGCCCACAATAAAATAGGAAACAAACAGGACAAGCTCAAACAAGTGGGATAATAGAATCTGCTGCTTCAAAAGCATTAATAGACAAATAATTATCAAAGAATAACAGCTTGTCGGTAATATGAGAATATTTTAATTTTAAAGTTACAGACACCGAACAAAAAAGGTCATTTTTAAGAGTGGTCGCAGAATTGTTGCCACTGCTTACAGATTATTGAGTCACAGCACATATTTATCGATACAGTACATCACCAAATATGTCGTTCCAGTTCTGTTAAAATGTGCACACGCTTTTCCTGTACACACTAGCGGAGGCGAGGGGGATAACGGGACTGATCATGACGCAAAGATGACGATCACTAATAGATATTCGGCTGCGGGCAGGGCCTGAGCAAACTGAACTGGCACTCTAGGCAAAAGATGATAATGCCTCCCTCAAACCGAAAGTGAAAACAAGAGACGGGTGTGTGATTGCGCGTACGACATACAACAGGGAGAGGGAGACGGTCGCCTCTATGGATGCACCGGTCCTGGCTGCGGTGAATAAAGGGTTAAAGTTCATTTTCACAACAATACCTAAGTATAGCCAACCTAGTGCTGTGTTTGTTCCTGTAATTTTTCTGATTAATGATACAATAACCTATTCTGCAACACTGGATTCATTGGGCGTTTGCTATTGAAGGAGCAGCAGAGACTATTCGATTTTGTCAGACTTGACAGGGACTTTGTCAGTAACTGTTACAGTTCATTTGGACCAGTTTCTTCTTCCTCCGAATCAGAACATGTAAGTGTCATTAAAATTGTTGCCACGTTTTGTGTAGTTTGTAAAATATGCGTTTAATTGTGTGTTGTAACTTGTAATCGCCCTGCACGGCTTGTAAACACTCATCTATTATTGATCAGTGCTTGTACTGTATCTCTCAGGTTAAATCTGTATGAGGTTATTCATATATCACATCCAAAACCACATTAAAAACGTGACACGTGCTTGCTTCTTCCTGCCATTTGTCATTGCTATGGCCACCATTAGCTGTTCCAACACAGCCGCGGTGCGGCCAATTTTCAAAATAATTCAACTTTTGCCACTGTGTGGATTACTGAATGTGTGTCGTTGTTATTATTGTTGGGGTTAGGTTTAAGAGTAGAGTAATATGCTGGTCTTTAAAGGGCCATGAAACCCCCTCGTTTCAGCAGGGTGTTTTCACACCTCTACTTTGGAAAAAGTCAGAAAAGTGGGCGTGTCCAGCTCTGTTTAGGGGGGAGTGTCTGAGGAACTAAAGTGGGAGGGTGTGGGAGTGTCTATTTGGGCATGCGCGAGTTTCAGTCAAAATACACACACACATGAGAAAGTGATGGTGTTTAACCTACATGGACATCTGTAGTCGAATTATTTGCCAAATTATTAAATGTTGGACTTTAACTGCAGTTTGGCTCTTTCATTCAGAAAATTCATTCATGCCCCTCGCGACAAACGAGATATTTGATTCGAGGATCTGCTCTAAGAGTGTATTTTTCATGCAATGTTTGATACCGCACGGCGAATGAAAGAAAAAAAAACTCCGCATTTTCCGGAAACTTAGATGCACACGGCAGGTAGCGTCAGAAAGCCGCGTGTGTTATTCCAGTCACAAAATGCGGTGCTAACATGTTTGCACTCAGTGCAATAGTTAACTTAATTCGATACGAATAAACTGAATAAACAAAGAGCACTGGTCGCTCACTTACCAAATCTGTAGAGACAGGACAATCACCAGCAACTAGAGCCGCGTCTTTATGAAGAGAATACTACAAGCGAATCCGGATTTCAGCGTTTGCAGATGAGAACAGCTCTCAGGTAAACAATAATCCTCCTTAGACAGGTAAGTTATTGTTGTCGAGCGTCGCGTACACTGTTAATCCACACGTGATCCAGATGAGCTCTCACAGAGAGAAAATGAAAACGAAACTTAATGGCAGCAAACTATAAAAGCAACACTTCACGCTTGTTTTGCCAACACAACGTGGCGTCTCTGTGGTGTAAACACGGTGAATGAAGTTGCACAATAGAGCGCGCTGATTGGTTTGAACCAAGCCTTACTCATGCATTAATGCAGCACACTGTAAGACGTAATAAGACACACTCTGGCACAGACGTCCAGTCTGCATGCTGGAATACACGCTATTATGTCATGGCCGTGACGCAGCTTCAAAAATTCGTTTCAAACAGGAAGTATGAATTTGCTTGAAATAACGCAAAAACAACCAATTTACACTTTTTAGTGAATTATAGGTGTCCTAATAGTGTTTTTAGCAGTGTGGGACACATATACGACTGTCAACAGCTCAAAAAATGTGTTTTGGTGTTTCGTGACCCTTTAACTGCATTAATTTATAGCAATGCTAAATCCTTTTAAATGCAAATTACGGGCTCTCTCTCTCTCTCTCTCTATATATATATATATATATATATATATTTTTTTTTTTATTTATTTTTTTTTTTTTGTAATTTCTACAAATATTGGCATTTTCAATTTTGTTTACATTTTGGTAGACACAACTAAAAGCTATTGAAGACTTTTAAATTGAAGACTGTCAAATTGTTTTAACAATAAATACATAGTGAAGTGTATAAGTGTAATTCAGCTTTACTGTTTGCAATACATCTCAAAGTGTCCTGTCAATTGTAATTTTTAAATATTTGTGATTTATTTAGTATAATCAATGACTTTTTAATGTTGTTGTTTTTTTTTACTATTTTATTTGACACTACAATAGGCATCTCATCTTTGACCCAAGTTTTAAACATAAGATTTAAAACATCAATATTTGAAGTTTGTAGTTAGATGTAATACAGTGTAAATCCCAACAGTCAACTTTATCAAATGAAATGAGTGTAGTTAACTCAGTGTGTACTGAAAGTTAATTCTACTCATTTGAAAAGAGTGTTGAACTCAGTGTTGAAGGAAATGAGTTAATTAAATGCCTCATTACTTCAGCTTAAATGAAGTTCACAGTACTCATATAGGTTAGTTTTTTAACTCAAATGGTTTGTTGCAATCGGTGTCCACTAACGGTTTGAGCTGCCCTAACTCCTTGGGTTTTACAGTGCTTAAATTGTTTCATTTACTCAAATGAATTTAGTACAGTACTCATTAGCATTAGTTTTTGTACTTAAATTTTTTGATGCAATCAGTTTCCTCAAATGTTTTGAGTTACCTTAACTTTTTGGGTTTTACAGTGTATTAAACTGGAATAACAAAAAACGTCTTTAATCCCCCCTCATCAACACAATAATATTTTCATCCCAATTTTAATGCACAGCATATTTGCCCCCTAGTTGACCCACTCACCCTTGTTTATCACATTTAAGCAACTATCTTTTTGCTTCAGGCTACACAAAGAAAATGAGGAAAATCCAGCCCTCCATTAATAACTACCCTCTATAGCCGTTTGTTAGTGTAGGCTCTAATTATTTCATGCCTAGACCATATCACTACTATTCATGATTCCACCTGCATCAGCCTCATGTCTGCTTGAGCAAATTCAAAATGCTGACATTCAACTGGTGTTTAACCATTACATATTCTCTACCTGCATGTTTCTTAGGTATGGATAATTTCGGAACTATTGACCAACTGACTGTTCACAGTTAACACAGCCAAATCACAACCTGCTTTCAAATAAAGCCTCAGGACACACCATTTTATAATGCCCCTCTACAAGGACCAACATGATCTTATATCAAACTATTAAATATGAATCCCCTTCAAATTTCCCCAACAGTTATAATTTGTTGAACCAGCTCATCATAAAAGAGTTGTCTGTAGCTACTTAAGGGGAAGAAAAAATGTCACCAATTTCCTCAACACAGGCCAAGATCATAAAAGTGTAATAATTATGCATACTGAAAATTTTGGATAATTTATGCATGAAAAAACAAAACAGAAGGAAAACCTACACTGTTTATATATATATATATATATATATATATATATATATATATATATATATATATATATATATATATATATATAAATATATATATATATATATATATATATATATATATATATATATATAAACAATTAGTCATGACAGCATATGTTTAGTTCATTGTAACTTATTAAACTAGGTTAATTATGTTCTAACTTAATTTTATAAGTTATGCAAGCAGTTTTAAGTCAGTTTCACATAATAGAAGTTCAATGGACTTATAAGATTAATTTGATTCAGCTTAAAATTTTAAGGCAACCAGGATTTTTTTTTACAGTGTAAGCTTACAGGTTGTTTACAGTAAAAAGCTGAGAGTCAATAGTGAGAGCTGTAATGTGATAAATGGGCGTGACAGAGAGTGTTTTGCATATTAATTAGAAGGAGGAGTGTTTGTCAGCTGGGTGATGAGAGAACTGAGATTGCACATATCAAACAATATATAACATGGACATAATGTAAAGCTAAATATTAGCTTCTCAACGAAAACTTGTAAAATGATGACAAAATATTTTGCCACAAATAGTCAACAGAACTTCACAGTTTGTAAATTAGACAGGTGTCTGATAAATTACACCCAAACGTGTTTTGATAAATGAACACAAACATGATGCGCCAGGTGTAACCTGTTTTACTAAGAGTTGCGATTAAATAACCAACAAATTATCATATACAATGTATAATTAAACAGGCAAAAGTTATAATCGGCAAGTGTTTAGTATTTTAAATATTAGATAGATTACTTACCCCCTGTGCAGACACCGCATACAAGACAAAGGGTAACACAAAACTCCTAAGGAGAGATAAACAAATTTCTCACATGTGCTGATTGAAAATACAGCACTTCGTGTGACTCGGCTAACTAAAATGACAGTTGATTGTTTAACGCTCATGTGTATGAACTCCCAACAACTTCTAATAGCTAAAAATGACATCTGAAGATATGATAAACTTACCAAAGTCTCATTTTGCAAAGCTTTGAGGAAACAGCAGGTAAAGTAGGCTATCCTCCTCGTCTTCACAGTGAGCCTCGGTTAATGGCTTCAGACCTATTCATTTGAGAATCCGGTGAGCGGTTCGACCACTTCGGAGAACAAGAAGTGAGATAAGGATAAACATAAACAATCAAATTAGAGAGCTAAATACACATAAATGCACATTCTACACTTTTTCTATGCAGTTTTGGCTGCAGTTTGTCCTCTGAGAATAAGAGAAGCTGACTCACAAGAAACTTCTGTGCTGAAAAACGCTCTCCTCGCGGCAGAATAGATTCACGCACCGCTGCAGCACCAGTGCGCGCTGTGCTCTGAGAGGAGAAGAGAGGGCGGGGCTTCAGCCGTCAATCACCCACACTCACGCGTCGGCTTCAAACAAACAGATAACCACAATCTCATCAGTAAACAGCGTGCTACTAGTGTAAACTAAAATAGCATTAATGTAGTGCATCTGTCATAATTACACACCCATGTGCATAATAAACACTGCGAATTTTTTTAGTTCTTAAGTTTAGTTTTAACTTAGTGACTTATAGCTAGTGTTTCATCAATATCAGTTATTAGCATTAAATAAACAATTTTAGCTTTTAAAATTAATAGCAGACCATATAAAACAGGTACATGTGTTCTTGTGTAACCATATTGGATTTAGTAGCTTAAATGAGGCTGCAAAATAATTAAGAACTAGGCTATTAACCATTCAAAAGTGAACTTCAAAGTAAGCCGATACATATGTGATATGTTTACACACACACCACTATGCTTTATAAGTATATATGCTTATATTGAGCGCAAAAGTGTATTTTAATATTTGTGTGTAAGCAAATCGTCCTCCGCCACTACACCCCTCTGCAAACCCCCTTAATAAATGTAATCTAAACCAAAAGCTAGTTAAATAGCTTGTATTTAATTTCTAACTGACTCAATAAAGCACCTGGGACATTTAAACATACATTTTTATCCTCTCGTGACTTCACATTCTAAAGTTTGTGTGGGACTACAGTAGGCGGAGGGATATGAAGTAGTGCCACCTCAGGTTAACTGAGATTCAGTAAAGTGAAGCTTACATTATTTCGTGCGCTGCCCGCACTGGACAGCTTTGAGGTTTTACAAGAATCCCTCTCTAAACTTTGGGGGAACAAAAACTTGCTGGTTTTGCAGTTAGCTTAACAGAGGAACATGATAAGTTCAGTAAGTGTTCATAGGTGTAAATGTCAATGTTAAGAGGGCAGATTCTTTTAAAATCAGAATGAACTTAAAAAGTCTCGGCGCGGTGTTGCTGCTTGTGCTCACTCTGAGTGCGGGAGTAGAGAAATCCGAGAGTGCGGTAAGTACTTATCTGCTTCTTTTTTAATGCATTTAATGCATTTCTGAGTGAATTTTATTACGATTGCATTGTATCAGCCACCTTACAGTTAGACCTTTTAATATAAGAGGTTACTATTTTTATTGAGGTAACAACTATAGTAGTCTATATGAATAGAAACATATTCATTTATTTGCCTCTCACGAGTGTTAAAGAACAGAGATATGCACATCACATTGTAAAAATCTGAAGGTAGAAACATGCACTATGTCTGTTAAAAATGCAATATCAACGTCTAAACAAAACTTTTAAAGTTTAAAAGTTATGTCTATAAAAGCTGTCAATAATATAGGCTACTTGTTTATTATTGTTGTTGTTGTTGTGTTTACTTGTTTATTAAGTTAGGTGTATTATCTGTATTATAAAATTATAAGTGCCTGTACTATAACATTACTGTTATCTTTTTATTGGTGTTATTGTATTATTTGTATTGTATAAATACTCATTAAGTCTTTCTCATTATATTGCAAACTGCATAACCTCATAGTTATGTTAAATATCTTCTCTCAGTAGTGGTTTCTAATCTGGATCAACAATTTGTTGCTTAAATTTCACTGGCATAATTTAATAGCAACTCCAATTATCTGCATGTGACAAATTAAATTACATTTTTGTTTGTTTGTTTGTTTGTTTGTTTTTACCTTTTATGACAAAATCAAAATTAATTAAATGTGATGAGGAATAATTCTTGAACAATAATTCTTGTACACTCCTTTGCACAATTTCCATGTAATTTCATTCATATAGGACAATATTTCTGTGGCAGAATCCTGGTCAGGTTTACAGCATTTTGCATGTCTACACTGTATAGTTGAACATGATGAATGCATACCATGCCCCAAATATGAAGATATGCCATCTTTATGTGGCCGCTGTCAGTGTAGTCAGTAACAGGAGACAGACAGGTGAGGACATGTTTAGGGAGGGACTAGTCCTAGAGGTACAGATGCATGCTTAACAGGGACAGGGGAGCACATTTGGTGACCTTACAACAAAACACACCATGTTCCTACATTTCCCATTGGGCATTGATGCGAACCAGTCCCAAGAGGGAGATTATATGTGGTTTGCACTTTCCTTTCTATTGATTGGCTGTTGGATTCTTCTGTCTCTCAATACAGATTCTGCATCTCTTTTATATCACTCCTAAGGTTCCGCCCAATTCCTGTTTCTTCCTTTTTTAAGGTGAAAGGTGGCATCTGTCATTCATAGAGGGAGGAGTTAGCTAGTCATCAGCATAGCTGATTTAGACATATAGCGCCGCCCATCCCCCAATAGCAAGATTGCACGACCCTTAGGTCTATTCAATAAGTGATTCTAACCACAGGCCATTGTTCACACAACCTTTTAACCTCATTGAATCTTTTTAAAAATCCCATGCAGACATTATTGTGTGCATAATTATTTTAAGCAATTCCACATTTGGATTGTTTGTTTATAATGTGACACGCAACAGGAGTTCCTTGTTTAGCCATGTGCTCATTGATGCCTCAAAGATGCAGATAGTGAGTATGCTTGCTTATGACAGGTCTCAAAGCTGATTAGTTCAGAAGCACAAGGGATACCAGAGCTGGCACTATAGAGTCTTTTTTTCTAAGATCTGATCAGAAGTGGGATATTACAGTAAAACAATACACTGTAAAATCCAAAAAGTTGAGGGAACTCAAACCGAGGAAACTGATTGCAACAAAGCATTTTAGTTAATAAACTATTCCTAATGGGTACTTTGAACTTACTATATTTGAGTAAATGAAGCAATTTCAGCACAGTAAAACCCGATAAATAAAGAGAACTCAAACCAACTGAGCACTGTAAAACCAATAAGTCAAGACAACTCAAACTGTTTGAGGAAACCAATTGTAATAAACCAGTTGAGTTAAAAAACGAATCTATGAGTACTGTGAACTTACTGCATTTAAGTTGAAGTAATGAGGTATTTTATTAGCGCATTACCTTCAAAACTGAGTTCAAAACTCTTTTTTTCAAATGAGTAGAAATAACTTTCAGCCAATTTTGAGTTAACTACACTCATTTCATTAGATAAAGTTGACTGTGTTTTACTGTGTACCGATAAATGAAGACTTGAAGTCAAAGTTGAAGTCAAAAATATTAGTCCTTTTTTCAGAGTCTTTTATAATATTTTTTCTTTAATATTTTTGTTCTATTATGTTTTATGTATAATATTTTTTTCTTACAAATTTTATTTTGACTAGAATTAAACAGTTTTTAAGTTTTTATAAAATCAATATTATTAGCCCCTTCAAGCAATATTTTTGATAGTCTACAGAACAATCCACTGTTATTCAATGACTTACCCAAATTTTAACCGTTAAGCCTTTAAATGACACTTTAAGCTGAATACTAGTATCTTGAAGAATATCTGGTCAAATATTGTTTACTGTCATCATAGAAAAGATAAAAGAAAGAAGTTATTAGAAATTAGTTATTAAAACTATTATTTTTTAAAATTTGTTGAAAAAACTTATCTCCGTTAAACAGAAATTGGACGAAAAATAAACAAGGGTGCTTATAATTCTGACTGTATATTTGTTTAATGGTTACTTGTCTTTTACCAAAAGTTCTGACAGTTCTTGAAGTGTCCATTATTGTGTAAATTAAACAGCAAATTAAAAAAGTAGCATTTTTTAATTCAAATGTCATGTTAATGCCTCTCAGTTTGACTTATTCAGACAGTTTGCTCATGCACTGAAACATTTGAATATAAAAGAGAGCAGTGGATGTTACAAAAACTTAATATTCTGCCATTTGTCAATGATGGAGCAGTTTTATATTAAGCATGCAGCTTGTGAATGACACTGTGCTGTGGTTCTTATTCAAATCAGGGTCCAAAAACAGTACCAAAATATGAGAAACTTCTTTTATTGGGATAGCCATATAGTGTCCCATTCTGATGAAAGGCAAAGAAACAATGCTCCTGGTGGATACCACTCCTCCATTTAACTAGGAGTTGTCCTTTTGAGGAGCCATTGCAGTGTGAAAGACCAGATTTTCTCCTATTTTTTAAAATGTCAAAGCCTTTTAACTCAAAGCAGAATGGAATTCCACAAATCCCATTTTCAATGGTGTCCTCCTAGTGGTAAGGTCCAGTATTATGTGAACTCTATTTTCATGGTAGGTGAAGTTAAAAATGTCATTCATCAGTATTTAATTCTTCTTTATTTGGTTTATGCATGTTCAAAGTGTAATGTTTGAGGATTTTGTTCTCATTGACATGCCAGAACTTGGCATCACCAGGTCAGGGAGTTTGCCGGTAACTTGAACCATAGGGGGGCTGCTTTGAACATTTCATACTTGAAGGAGTCTATACACTGCCCAGGTCAAGGTGTATGAACATGTATGCATGTGTGTGGCATCTGTATGTGTTCTCCTTCAGATAAGTGTGTGTGTGTGTGTGTGTGTGTGTGTGTGTGTGTGTGTATACAGGTTAATGTGGTTTACAGGGACACAATGTTGTATAATGACATGGATATGACTTTGTTGTACTATATTAAGGTGGTTTAATTCGAAACCCTTAAAAATCATACCAGAGTCTCCTATCATTTGGATTTTACCTCAGGTTTCCTGTGACCATATAGATCATTTCAATGTGATCATGTCACTGGCCCATAAACATTTCCTGCTTGCTATTAAACTATTTTATGACTGTAACAAGAGGCAATTCAATCATAACTTCATGTTAAAACCGCTATCATAACATTATTTATCAATATGTGTCTCTTTTTGGATTCTCGGAAGCTATAGAAATTAAAAATGTAAATCAGGAAATACATTGGGAACATTTTTTTTTGTTTACATCCTTCAAAATGGTCTATAATAAGCTTTTTTTTACAGTATAAAATACCTTATGCCTATTAAGTGTCCTTGTAAACCATGTATACAAGTATGTTTGTTTGTGTGTGTGTGTGTGTGTGTGTGTGAGAGAGAGAGAGCTCTTTTTGTATATATCTGTATATATCAGCTTGTATACACATACATACTGTATATAGAGCTATACACA